GACTGCTAGGTGTCCTGGAGTCAAGAAGACCTAAGTTCAAATCTGGCCTCAGACACTTAATTAGCTATGTGACCCTGGGCAACTCATTTATCCCTGTTTACCTCAGTTTCCTCATCTGTAAAATGAGCTGGAGAAGGAAATGGCAAAACATTCCAGTATCTTCGCCAAGAACACCCTAAATGGGGTCAGGAAGAATCAGACACAACTGAAATGTCTCAATAACATTAGTATTAACAATAAATTAATTGGTATTAACATTGGTATTAACAAATAAAATGTAAACAGAAAGGACTCCTTCTCTCCAGCAACAACTTTTTATTTAATTCAGTTCAACGAACTTCTGTGAGGGTACAACAAATTCAATAAAATATAGTTTGTGTATTTATATTGTTAGAAATTAAAAGCTATCACGCTTCCTCGCAAGTAATTTTTTAAGATAAGAAGTAAATTCAGTATGTATGAAAGACATAAGATCACAAATTAATAAGACATAGGACTAAAAGCAGCATCAAGAATGCGTGTGTTTCCCCACATATTATAGAAATACATGCACATGGTGCTAGAAAGGACCTTGAAGATCATCATATCTAATGCCCTCGCTTTATAGAAAAGGAAACAGACTTAGAAAAGCACAGGTTATACAGGTTATTCTTGAACCCAGATCTCCTGACTCTAAGTCAAGTATTTTTTCTACTGCATCCCTCTGCTTTTCAATTCATGAAGAATATTCCTTCTATAAATGCCACTTGAGTCTCTTGGTCTCTCTCCTGAGAAAGCAAACAAAACTACCAATTAATGTCAACAAAAAGACATACTGTATTTTTTTTTAACTTTCCACAATGGAGACAATTATCTCCAGTGATTCAGAAGACCCAGACTACTCAGACCACTAAAGGGGTCCTTGAATGCCAGCCAAAGGAGTAGTAGGCAAAAGGAAGTAACAATAACAACAATAACAACAACATGAAGAACATGTGAGATAACATATATAAAGAATTTTGCAAACAAAAAGCACTATATGTTATCTGTAATAATAACCATTGTTATTACTATTAGTATTCATCTTAGCTAGCATTTACATAGTGCTTTAAAGGAGAGGTGTCAAACACATTGCCCACGGGCCACATACAGCCTACAACACTCCCCAATGTGGCCTAAATCTGATTAAAATGTAATTGGTAAATATTTAACAAATTAAATAAAAATATAATAAAACACAGATTTTGTTAATATGTAGTTTTCTAAATCAATATTAGACTAGGGATCCTCACGTATGGTTTAATTACCTCTGTTTCCACTTGAATTGGACACCACTGCTTTAAGATTTACAAAGCATTTTATATATGGCATCTCATTTGATCCTTGTTCAATTTTGGCAGGTGGGTGCAATGATTATCATCTTCATTTTATAGACAAAGAAACTGAGGCTGAGAAAGGTTTAGTGACAAGGTCACATAGCCAGTATGGCTCTGAGGGAAGATTCAAACTTGGGTCTTTGCTGATTCCGAATTCAGCACTCTCCCCTAGGAAACCTAGCTGTCCTTTGTGCAGGACAGCGGAACTGAAATGAAACTGATTCTAGAGAGGGTTTGGCCCAAATCTAGAAAGCAAGGGAGGGGATAGGGTGGATGGGGGAAATCCTCATGAAACTAAGCCTCAGGATCAGGAATTAATGGGTGACATCAGCTTATAAGATCAGTTAGTAGTGGTGGAGGAAGGGTAGGAGAAGGGCACAAATATCTCCCACTGACCGGCCACTGATACTCACTCCCCTCTACTACAGAAAAGTGAGGGCAGTGCTAAAATGCTTTCATGCCTAAAGAAGAAATCCTCCACAGTACTGCACTATCTTGCACATGCGACAGAGCTGGTTCAATGAACAGGAGCTAAGGAAAATAGCAGCAGCTCACATGCTATGGCAGCCTTCACAGTCTAACGATTAATTCTTTACGTCATCTCCCAGGATGGACAATTTTTCCCCTTCCAGAGATGGGCAGCCTGCTTAGAAAAACCTCCATGAAGAAAGTTTTTTCTTCTTATCCACAGACCTTTCCTTCTTATGCATACACCTGGTCATGTACATAGTGTGCTCAAAAACATTCAGTGACTCCCTACCACCTACTCAGTAACATTCAAACTCCTTGTCCTGACATTCAAAGCCTCCAAAACTTGGTACCATCCTACTTTTCCAACCTTCTCTCAAATTACTCCCTTCCATGAATTCTTATGTTCCAGCAAGACTGGACTTATCTGTTCTCTAAACAGACCTGCATGTTCCCATCTCTGTTTCTTTGCTTATACACTTTTCCCTATGCCTGGAATACAATCACTTCGCTTCAGACTATGGAATTCCTACCCCAGATTTCTCTATTCCTCAAATTGGTAAAGATATAACATACCCCTCTCTTCTATACTTAGATATTAATTAACAATAGGCATCCTATTATTTGTGTACTTGTGCTCAAACTTGATTCTAAGTTCCATGAGGGCAGGGAAATGTTTATATCTGCCTTAGTTCCTATCACAGACTTATGTAATAGAAGTGTAAAAAATGTTTGTGAAATTAAAAGCATTCAGCACATATGGTCAGTCCTAATTCATTATGATACATTTATTTCTGAAAATGGATTTTATTGATATCTTTTATTTTTATATGTATATATGCATGTATGTATATTTATGGATGGATATATATGTATATTTATAATGTATACCTACATTTCCAAGTGTATTCCTATCCCTGCAGCTCTCCTTTAATGTAAAACTATGGGTTTACAAAACACTTTTCTCACAACAACCCTTTGTGGTAGTAGGTGATACAAGTATTAGCCTCTTTTTACAGATGAGGAAAGAATTACCCTCTCCTGTATCTCAGAGAATCATCCTTTATAACAAATAATAAAAAGGAAAAAAAGCAGTTGAACAAAATGAGTGAACATGCTGAAAAGTCTGACCATATTATTAGCATCTCAGAATGGTGCCAAATAGCATCAAAAGTACCTACTCATATCTCTTCTGTGAAAAATGATTTCTCTTAGTAATCTGTGTCTTAGAGACTTCTGCTCCAAAGTTCTTCAGAAGGACATTACTGACTGATAATGAGATTGCATTGAATCTTCTTATCCTAGTCAAACTCCAACCCAGGCCTGAATTGATTTTTATCCTACTCAGGCTTGGGTGGAGACAGATTTCTTCCGCCTAGAGAGTCCAAAGACAGGATGGTATTTCCTCACTGCTGATGGTGTGTGATACAGCCCCTATTGACCTAGATTAAGTGACTTAAGTCACTTACTCAACACCTCATTTTAATATAACCCACCTCCCAGTGATTTGACCAATAAGAGTAGATTGGCATTCCTTGGGACCACCTACTCTTCAAAGGGCATATAATCCTGTACCCCCAAATCCCAAATTGAGCCAGTTCTGAATTGGCCCCCTTAGGGGTGCCCAGTTTTGGACTGAACTCCCATGCAATGCATGTCAAGCAAGTTTGAGAGAAATTAAACCATGGACACATGTACCCTAATTTCATTTGTCTCTTTCTTAGAATAGATTCTGTAATAAATTGGGGTTCGATACTTCTTTGGGGACAAGCTTGTTTTTATAATTTCAGATCATTCAGTTTCAATTGTTTCATTACTGTTTTTTCTATTTATGCTGTTGCAGTCATTGTATACATTGTTTTCCCCATTCTAATTACTTTACTTTCCATTTGTCTCTATATTTTTCATATTTATCTTTTCTTCGGGCACAGTAACATTTGATTAAATTCATGATCACAATTTGTTTAGTTATTCTCCAATTGACAGATACTTATTTTATTTCTGGTTCTTTGCCATCACAAAAACTGCTACTAGAAATATTTTGATATATATGTCATTGACATCCTTAGGGTATATGCCTAGCAGTAGAATCTCTAAGTCAAAGAGTATGGATATTTTAGCCATTTTAGTTACTTCTTTTTTTTTTAGCATAATTCTAAATATCTTTACAGAATGTTTGGATCAATTCACAGCTTCACCAAAAGCGCATTAGTGAGCAGACCACAATCCTTTCAACATTGACTATTCCCTTCTTTTGTCATCTCTGCCAATTTGCTCGGGATGAGGTGAAATCTGATTTGTGTTTCTTTTACTTTTAATGATTTGGAGTATTTTTCAAATAGTTGCTAACAGTCTGAATTCTTTCTTTTCATACAGTTGTTAATAGTTTGCAATTCTTTGCAATTCTTTAGATAGAGTAATTTTATTTATAATCCAATCCAATGAAAAGAAATAAAGATGAATTTTCTTATATGTACATTTTTGTGTGTAAATACATACACATACACACATACTATACCAATAATTTTTTTCTATGTTAAAAAAATTAAAATCAATAATCAAATAAACAAAATTAGGAATAAGTCCCAAATAAAATCTTTAAACACCACTGACTTTTACGTAATTCACTACTTGCTTATCAGGATAGTCAATGACGTCTTAGGTAACCTTCCTCCTCACCATCATACAACTGTTAGGATAAAACACAGGCTCAAATTTGAAGAGGTCATCTACTTAATCACTTAGAGGTCATCTACTCTAATCCTTTCACTTTACAAATAAGAAAACTGAGGCCCAAAGAGATTAAGGGACTAGCTCAGGGTCCCAGAACAACTTAATTAGTGTCTGAGACTGGGTTTGAATTAGGGTATTCCTGTTTTCAAATCCGGCTCTTTTTTGACTGCCACCAACTTGATGCAGCTCTCCAAAAGAGATGTCAAACTGAATGAAACCTGCTCCTCACGCCTCCAGTGTGAGAGGAAAAACTACAGCATGGAGAGCTTGTTGCCTGCAGGGACAAATCTTCTGAGGAGGAAGGCCTTTAGGGTGTCACTGTAAAATTTAAAACTCAGGGAACATCACCATGCAAGGGCTGTAACAAACTTGGTTTATCAGATCTTAATAACGGAGAGATGATGGTGCACCAGATAATGCAAGAGGAAGCCCAAATGTACTCACAGCCTTGATCCTTCGGGTCACACGGGAGACATCACCAGGGTTGAATGACAACAGCCCTCAGGGAGTACTGATGTTTCCTGTCAATGAGAAATGAGTTGGTTATTACAGACCTGCAGATTCAGGGTAGATTTTCAGTGAAATCTTCCCTCAAAGAGACTAAAAATAAACTTGCAGCTGCACTTAGGAGGTGACCTTTTCAACCCAGTGGTTGCTTCTGAATTAGAGAATGAGAGCATCCTTAATGCTATAGGAAGACCTTTGTTTTGTTTTTAAAAAAACAGATCCTAGGATCACTTGACCTATTTCCCAGGAATTGGGATTCTGATTCTACCTTTTATAAACAGAGTGAATCAGGTTTTGATAATAACACTGAAATACTGCCAGAATAAGTAATATGCTAAGAACCCTTCTTTTCTTTCTTCCCATATAAAATGGTAAAGGAAATAGCTGCTTTGTAGTGAACCCAGCAGTGACTTACCTAAGAATCATTAGGCTAAAATAGAATGTCATTGTAGTAAGAACTCAGTTGTCCATAAGCCTAGAGCAAATGTCTCTTAACAGCTAAGTTTTCTGGATAGCTGAAGGCCTGTTCTTTTAAATAACCTCATCACCCAGCCCCCTACTCCCAACCCTGCCCCACAAACACCCAAATTCTTATTACACACTTTCCTACTTTCTTAAACCAAAATATAATTATTTTCTTGATGACTCAAAGTTGTTTTGAGGAACAGTAATTACTGCACCATACCATAATAAAGTAATGTCCCAAGGGCCTTGTAAAGAAAGGGAGCCTGTTAACTAGGAGAGTGAGCAAACTACAAGTCTGCTGGAGTCATTTTTATTTCAGGTGATGTGAACAATGTTCAATTTACCCTTTTATATTTCTGATGGGGTGATGGGCCCTGAACCCCTAAAAGGAAAAGACCATGTCTTTGAAAACAGCCCAGTCCCTGAATTTTCCCAGACATTTCAGCAGCCCAGATTATTGGCGGCTCACCCAAGGCATTTGGCCCATCTCAGCCTACCTAGATGCCCAATAGTCCTTTCACAGTGGCTCTCAGCCCAGCCCAGCCCACTTAACTCCTTTCACTGTCTCACCTGACCCACCCTAGGCTATTTAACACTCCTTAATCCCACCCAAATATTCTCATTGTGTCTTTTTGTATATAAGTATCAATCTCACCCCCATGAAGTTGCAGATTAGGAATCTAGCCTGCACTATTGGTATTTAATAAACCTTGCTACTTTAACTGGAAGACAGTTTGAGTGCTTGAATTCTTTCCAGGCAGATACCTCTGTACCCTGACATTTTGGGGTTGCCAGCACCCCAAACTACATCATATCCTTGTTAGTTTCTTAGTCAAGGGTAGAAAAACTTAGCTAAGTGATTATGTCTTAATGTGGGCAGAACACCAACCAAGCCACCATTCAATCAGGAGGTCTCCATGATTAGTCGAGGTTGTGAGCCTGTGACTAGAAGAATGAACTAGTAAGATTAATCCAGCAATGTTTTGGGAGGCATTACCCAAATTAGAGGTATTTTGGGACTACATACTCTATTTTCATATCCATTAAGGAAATGAATGTCACGTGATCATGAGTTATCCTAGGCCTGGGGAAGTTTAGTTAAGGATTAGGTTAGAAACCTTGGGAACCCCTTTATCTGTGTCTGGGGTAGATTTCTTTTCTTATCTATTTCTAAACTGCCTTACCCTTGTATGTGCTTTCAGAACTTGTATATAGGGGCAGCTAGGTGGCGCAGTGGATAGAGTACCGGCCCTGGAGTCAGGAGGACCTGAGTTCAAATCCAGCCTCAGACCCATAACACTCACTAGTTGTGTGACTCTGGGCAAGTCACTTAACCTCAATTGCCTCATATTAAAAAAACAAAAAACAGAATTTGTATATACTCTTTTCACTTGAAAATAAGTAAGAGAAAACTGTCTCTTACAGTTTGTAGGTAGTAGAGAGAAGATTTTGAAGGAAACAGGTGTGAGGACTGAGTGCCAGGAGACAGTAACAGGATTTAGGGATAGTGAGTGGGATTTAGATGCTTAAGTTTTCTGAATCCAAGGAGTTAAGGCAACCATGAGGCCAAGAAGGTTCAGAAAGCTTAGACCCTAAAGTGGGAGTTTAGTCATCAAAAAAGTTTTTAGGCAGCTAGGTGGCGCAGTGATAGAGTAATGGCCCTGGATTCAGGAGGACCTGAGTTCAAATGTGACCTCAGACACATAACACTTACTAGCTGTGTGACCCTGGGCAAGTCACTTAACCCCCACTGCCCAACCCCCCCCTCAAAAAAAAAAAGAAAAAGAAATCAAATTTAAAAAAAACTTTTTAAAGCAGTAAAATGTTAGAACCTTGAAGCAGAAGACAAAGCTTTCCTGGGTCTATTCCAAGAAATGGAGAAGATGACAAGTTTCAGTAGGTCTAAATTAGACCCAAGTCTAGATACCTCACAACAGTTAGCCCCAACACTAAATGGTCCCAGACTGCTCTGCCTTTTGAATTTTTTTTTTGAACAGCTTTTCTGCTTTATCTTTTAATGACAGGGGACATTTCTTATTACAATCAGTATGCCTATGGCTAGCAGCCTACAGCTTCTCTGGAAGCTTGGACATTAGATAGTCATGATTATTCACATTGTATGAAAAATGAGAAGAAAGAGGCCCTCAGTGAGAATCTATGGAAGAGATTTTCCTATGACTAAGGCATATGAGTTTTAATGCATGGACTTAATGACATTTACTTGGACTTTTTGGAAGATTTTTTTTTCTCTTATTTCTTGATTCTTAGTGATATCTGGGTAAGTGAGGTTTCCAAAGCAGTGAGCTCTAGAAAACAGGTTTTTTCAATCTTTTTTTTTTAAGTGTTCAATACTCAAGAGCTTACAAAATCTGCCACCTAATCACAGAATCTGTGGGTTGAACAGGCCCATTTTCTAGGAACCTTCCAAGAATCACACAAGTATACAAAGCTTTTTTTCTCCCTTTCTTTTTAAGGCAATTTGTTTCAATTCACTGGTTTGCATTTACAATAGGATAAATGGATTTTAAAGTTTTTTCCCAGTGTGAAGAATTACAGACTCATTGCTTTCTCTTCTCTGGCCCTGGGACTGTTGAGAGATGTGGAGCCTGCATCCTGGGTCCTTCCTTAGACTCAAGACCTGGGGGAAGAGGAGGAAGAATTTGGAGGTTCTGCCTGGTCTTGGACCCTGGCCCTCTCTGGCCCTGTCATTGCCAAAAGCCTCAGAGCCTGGCCCTGGACCCCTCCTTGGCCCTTCTACTTTATTTTTAAGAACTTGCAGTAAGTATTTTTCTCCAGGAAGTTGTTGTTTCTTCTAGACAAAAGTCAAAAGCTTATTTATAATTCTGATACAAAAACTAGTGATACAACATTAAAAGCCCACAAATCATAAACAAGCTTCTTGAGAAAAACAAAAACCCATGAATTCTTCTAACATTGAGGGATGAAACCTGAGACAAAATTTAATGGCTAGATTCAAGTATACTCCTCTCATCCACTTTCACTCAATCACAAACTCTTTCAATGAAATGAATGGTATAAATGATCTAGAACTCTTTCCAGGATGCTCTAAAAAAAATCTGAATCTCTAATCAAAGTTCCTTGGGAACTTCAAAAATGGTTCGGTATTAAGCTCCAACTTAAAAATGACCAAGAGAAGAAGGAAGATATGCTGGCAAGAGACCAATAAGGCAAGTTAATATGGTTCTTTCAAAGTATCCCAATCCGCCAGTAAGAAAATTCTGATACCTTCCCAGAATAGAATTTGCCTTATTCAACTAGTTATCTAATCATCTAGTTGTTTCCTTTAGGAAACTTAGATACATTCAAGCTAATTAGAAAAGCCTAAGGTAGAAATTCCCATTTGACTCTCAGTACAACACCCTTAACCCTTGTCTCCCCAGCTTAAAATGGTTACCTTCTCATTCTCCTCTTCAAAATTCAAAGGCAAACACATGGAAATTGTCCTGTGCAGTCACAGCTGTCAACACATCACATGACCTAAGAGCCTTTCTCGTTCTAACCACATAAAGACTGTCTCTCAGTTTGTGACGACTATTTTCAGAGCTTGGTATTATTTTTTCTTCTTCTATGGAATCTTTTGTGGTAACCCATACATAGGATCAGAGATTTAGAACTCAGATACATTAGAGCTCATCAGGTCAAGAGGTTCTTAACTATTTTTTTTATAAAGGAGGTAAGTGAAGCTCAGAAAGGTTTAGTGATCTGCCTAGTGCCACGAAAATAGTAAATGGTAGAACAGGCGTTTGAATGCAAGGTTTCTTGATTAGACAGGGTGCTATCCTATCAATTTTTCTTTCAGAATCACTCATACCCATTCCTTTCTTTCCATCTGCCTTTGACACCATGGAAATTCAGATCCTCATCACCTCACACACAGGCTCCTGAAATAGTCTGATTCCCCTTCCCTAAGGCTCTCTCCATTCCAATACATCCTACACACTACTGTCAGGGTAATTTTCCAAAAATCTTATCGTACCCATGCTCAAAAACTTTTGATGGCTCCCAAATGCCTACCTGATGAAGTCCAAAGTACTTAATCTGCCATATGGTTCTACCTTTTCAATCTTATTTTCTATGTCTTCCCTTCACAAACCCTAAAATCCAGTCAGACTAATTCATTTGTTTATTCCCTAAACATACCTCCTACTTCCCTTCCTCTACCTCCTTCACAAGGTTTCACAAAACTTTCCCCCTCCTAACCTCACCCTCCTTAACTCCATTCTCCCTGCCCATCAAAATCTCAGCCATCCTTTAAGACCTGGCTCAAATCCTATTCCATAGGTTAATAAGAGAGCCCCTAAGCAAACTCTAAGGATTTAGTAGAATTCAATGTTGCTCAGGCATTTACAGAGCTTTATCTTCTCAGATGCCCAAGATATTCTTGCCTACTTGAATCAAGACCACTCATCTTGCTCATCTAGCATTCTTTTTTGGGCCTGTTAATATTGTCAGCAAGACAGTAGTGCTGATACAAAGGGATGAAGGTCTTTCCCTATTTGTGTGTTCCAATAGCATGACTCCTGAACAT